GGGGGGGGGGGGGGACTTCAGCCTGAGTTAAGGCTCCAGGCATGAGGTTGTGGTTTGAGCAGTGACCAGGAGGCGCCACTAGTAGTTTATGCAAAGGACTGAAGGACAGCCCAGCCCAGAGCCAAAGAACAAGTAGCCCAAATTAGTAGAAGTAGACCAATGAAAGCATGGGGAGGGCCCCGGGGGGCATCCCATGGGCACCAGAGGAAGCTTGGAGGGCTTGTTTGTAGGAGTAAATTGAGAAAAAAAGAAGAATGTTTAGAAAATAAAAAGCCCTAAAGAGGAGAAAAGGTACCAAATGGTACCTAGGTAATTTATTATTATTACCAAATATGATATTATTTTAGCACACATATTAATAGCATCACCTCTGTATGATTAAAAAACATTTTTTTAAAGAATGTTTTTTATTGATTTTTAGAGAGAGAGGGAGGGAGAAAGAGAGAGGGAGAAACATTGATGTGAGAGAGAAACATTGATCGGCTGCCTCCTGTACACGCACCAACTGGGGGTCGAACCCACAACCCAGGTCTGTGCCCTGATGGGGAATTGAACCTGCAACCTTTTGGTGTACAGATGATGCTCCAACCAACTGAGCCGCCTGGCCCGGGCACCTCTGTGTGACTGAGTAATAATGATGGCGGTGACCTCTCCCAATGAGGGGATGTAACTAGGTGGACGTTGTCATTTCCATGTGACAGATGAGAATACTGAGGCTCAGAGGAGTTAAGCCATTCATCAACGTTAACAAGGTGTTAGACCTACACCCAGTTCTATCTGTACCCAGAATCCCTGAAAATAATGGCAATAATAAAAAACGATGGCAGAGCTTTCCAGAGTGCTCATCTACAGAGCAGGCACTACTTGAAACACTCTCATTAACTCATTCAGGCTTGGCTACGCACTAGTGGCTTCTAACAAACCAACTTTGAAGCTAAACCAGCTTCTCTCTTTTCTCTGTCCTCGACAACGCCCTTTCCTATCAGTTAAGCTCACCTTCAGGGTCTTCAAGTGGCGAGGTTTGCTCCGAGGGGCTTTGCAGCCTCTTCTGGTCCTGTGGGGTGGTCCCCGAGAGCTGGGATAGAGCCCCCTGTGAGATGGGAGGAGGGCCTGCGGGTGCCAGGGGGGCCTGCTGCTTCTCTGCCAGCTGCTGCTGCTGCAACACAAGGGCCCAGGGAGCTCAGCCTTGGCGAGGCCCTGCCCCATGGGGACCCAGCAGCTGTGCCTGAGCTGACCTGCACCGGACCATGAGCACACAGAGCACAGTCATGGGGGCTCGGGGCGCTGCTGGGGGGAAGGCAGGGGCAGAATCGGAGCTGGGTGAGAGAGACAGGCCTGAGGTTGGGGTGTGGGCTTACCTGCCTCATCACGAAGAGCATCCACCCTCCCAGGAGGACTGCAGTGAGGCTGGCCACCAGCAGGTCTTGGGGCCCCAGCCCTAGATACAAGTCTGGAGTTTTCTCTTCCGGGTGCAGCTCCAGGTCGCGAGGTTCCTCCCGACTCAGGCTCAGGAGCTGGGGACAAATGGGCTTTCACTCTCAGCACCTCCTCTCGCTGGGGGACCCCCGAGCCTTCCTCACCGGGTGCAGCCGGTTTAGCTCAGGGGCAGCGGGGGCGGGGCGCGGGGCGCTCTCCGCGGTGCTGACGCCTCGAGGCGCTGCAGGAGCTCAGGCTTCCAGCCCCAGCTGGTGACCCCCAGCTCCTGGGTGTCACTAAAAAATACAGATACTTTCGGGGCATCACCAAAAATGCAGATGCCCACCTCCAGAGATTCTCAATTCAGTGGGGCTGGAATGGGCATCCGGGTGATTGTAATGAGCAACCAGCTTTGAGGATTATCGCTCCAGGTCAGGTCATGGCTGTTCCTTCTAAACTTGAACTACTAGTGATTCTTTTCTTTTCTTTTTTACCCTCACCCAAGGATATTTTTTTCCATTGCTTTTCAAAGAGTGGAAGGGAGAGCGAGAGAGACATTGATGCGAGAGAGACGCATCGATTGGTTGCCTCCCTCAAGTGCCCTGAGCAGGGTCGGGGATGGAGCCTGCAACCGAGGTGCATGCCCTTGGCTGGAGTCAAACCTGGGGCCCTTCAGCCTGCAGGCCGACGCTCTAGCCACTGAGCAAACCGGCTAGGGCACTACTAGTGATTCTTGTCCAATCCTCTCCCAGGAGAGCATGCCGTTATAGCTTTTCTGTTTTAATTTTCTCACTTGATAACCATTTTGTAACTTACACTGAAGAAGAAAAATGTGACAGATGTTTCACAATTTAGATAACCAATATCTTTTTGACATGTCTAACAACTAAAAAAATTTTTTCTTTGGGGGAATTATGTGAGGTCAATTGACCCACTCCAAATGTTATTCCTAGGTGCTTGAGGAAAATGTCCAGTGACTGCCCACCCACCTGCCAGCCCCCCTCCAAGCCCTCTGCCCTTTTAGCACTGACCTCCGAGGAGAGGGCTGGGGCCTGCATGCTCTTGGAGGGTCTGGTTTCAGCGGTTCCACTTCCTGGGGTGGGATGGACTCTCAGCATGGTGGTGTGCAGGACTGGGGGTGGCTCGTGGTGTCCTAAGGGGCAGGGTAAAAGTCAGTGGTCTGAAGGTCACCTCAGCCTTCCAACTCAGAACCCGGGATCACAGGTCCTTCATCTTCATCTATTCCAAATTTGAGCTAGGAACTCTCACCAATGAGCAGCCACTGGCTAGGGAGGGCCACGCTGCCTGAGGGGTATCTGACAGCTGTGCTAGGAGAGCCCTCTCGCTCTCCTGAGACTTGGAGTGTCACCTCTTCTGTGGTGGGGCCATCCATGGAGGCCAGGGTCAGTCCACGAGGCTACGGCGGAAGATGGAGAGTCATGAGTGAGGGGGCTCTCCTGCTGCGTCCCCTCTTTCCAGCCCCTCAGAGACCCCTCCTCACCACCAGGGCCACCCCTGTGTGGACCAGTGCTTTGGAGACGTAGAAGCCAGCTTCCTCCTTCCCCACATACAGCGTCATCCTAGTGGGGGCGGAGAGGGGAGAAGGGTGAGTAATGGCTGTGGGTGGTCTCAGTCACCACTCACGTTCCTGCATTGTCCCCTCCCACATCAGTTCTGGTCTTGGCCATGTCACTTGCTTTGGACAATGGGACAGAGCAAGTGTGATGCAAGTAGAGACTCGAGCAGTGCTTGTGTAATGGGACTTGTCCTCTCGTGTTGTTCTTTGGAACCCCAAAGCCACCATGGGAGGAGACCCAGGGTAGCCTCCTGGGGCATGAAAGGGTATCCGATACCCTCCAGGCTAAATAGCCCACCAACTATGAGGCAGGTGAGTGAGAACATCTTAGGTCATCCAGGCTCAGCCAAGCCACCAGCTCACGGCACATATTAACTAAGACCGCCCAGGCCAGAAAACCAGCTAGCTGACCCACAGAATCTTGAAAAATAATAAGTGTTTGTTGTTTTGAAGCCCCCCCCCCCATTTCCTATTTATCCTTTAGGTTTCAATTTAGATGTCCCTTCTAGGAAGCATTCCACACCTGCCTCCTGCCGGTCTCCATTTAGGTACTCTTCCCATACATCCCCACGGCAAACCTGTTCTTCTCTTGCCTCGCCCTTTAGCATACCAGTTGCCTCTTTACACACCTGTCTCCTCTACTGGACTCTAGATTTCTGTAGGTGGAACACAGGTGGTATTACTGTGCTCCCAGAGCCTAACGAGTGACTGGTACATAGTAAGTGCTCAGTTAATATTTGCAGAACAAACAGAATGAGTGGATAATCTCTGATTTCCCCAGTCTGCTTCTCGGCTCCCCAAGATGGGGACTCTAAAGTTCTGAGAGATGTAAGGCAGGGTGAGAGTTCATCTTTAACAACCAATAAGGCACAGCACCTGCCAAGCAGAACAGGTGCCAGCTGTGGCACTGGAGTGGAGACCTGGAGGCCCCCACCTAGGTCAGATTTTACCATGTCAGTTGCTGAACAGTGGGACTACCTAGGGGGTCCTGGAACGCACAAAGGGTGGTTCAGGGCACTGGTTATTTATTAATACCAAACTGCTTGGTAAACAGCCAGCTTGAAATATTTTGACCCCTGGCTCAACTGTACTGGTATGTGATGGTCAGACATCGTGCCTGCCCATTGGGCCTGGGCTACAACCCTTCCAGAGGGTCCCCCCCAGTCCCCAGACATGAGCACCCACAGCAGCTGGATGTCCAAGACAGAGAAATGGGCTGTGTTCTGGGGGCGGGAGGCAGGCAGTCGGATGTAGCCCCAGCGGAGGGCGAGGAAGTGCAGGGTGTCCCGAGCCAGTGTGAGATGGGGTAGCTGGTGCAGGCTGTCCTGGTGCCAGGTGTAGATGCCCATCACAGGCACACCCAGGTCTTGTGTCCACAGCACCGCCCCACTTCCTGGGTCCACAGTGAGCAGCAGGCCCATCCCACAGGATGCTAGGTGGCTCATGTCTGCCAAGAAAGATGGGGATGTGATCGGGGAGCTCTGCCAAGAGGTGCCTCAGAGTATCTTGGGGTGGGGGAGCTGCTCTGGGGGTGGGCCATCAGGAGGGCCACTCAGGCGTGTGGGGTTCAGGTGAGATCACCTGGATGGTGGCAGGACATGGGAAGGTCAGTCAGAGTCCACTGGGGCACTTTGACCTGTCAGGGTCAACTGGGAGCCGTATAGGATGTAGGGGTCAGTCGGGGTCATCTGAAGGTGACTCGTGTTGCTGAGAGAGATCGCTTAGGATGTGGAGCAGTCAGTCACCCATGCTCTGACTGATGACCACTTAGGGTGCATAGCAGGGCGACCTGGAGGCAGGTGGATCGATTGGATATCACCTAGAGTGTGAAGGAGGTCAGTCAGCGGCCTGGGGTGTCACTGTGATGTGTCGGTGTTATCAATTCTCATATGATGAGATGGGGTCAGGGAACCAGAAGCTGTCAAGGGCACCTGAGAGCTAACTCAGGAAGTCTGGTAGGACAGACATAATATCAAGGAGGTGGTCAGGGTTATCTGGGGAAATGTCACTCAAGGTCATCTGTCAGGAGTCATTCAACGTTGGGGGTCAATTAGAAAACGTGAGGATGCTCAGGATGTGTGGATTCTTGGGGTCACCCAGGATGGAGGGAGACCTGTTTGGGCTCACTTGGAGTACGGAGGAGTAAGGATGTTAGGCTGCTCAGGGTACAGGAGGGTCACGCTGGGTGGTGAGGGGGATCATTTAGGGTCATCCATCAAGTGTGTGGGGTCCCTGAGGAGGTCAAATGGGTCAAAATGTGGTGAGGCTTGGTTAAGGATGCCACTCAGGGTTCCCTGAGTTGGGGACACTGCTCCAAGATGGGGCCAGAAAAAGGTGGCACTCACATTTTCCAGGAGAGCCATCCAGCAGGGGCGCTGAGTAGCGGCGGTAGGTGGTGTTCCAGCGCAGGTCCGGGGTCCGGGGGTCATGCATGGTGACCGTGTACTCTGAGGATGCCCCGGAGCAAGGTTACCAGGCTCACCCAGGTGATGCTCCTCCCATGCCCACCTCAGTGGGTGTCATCTTGGGCTGGGGATTTCCTGAGCTCCCAGCCTGGGTGGAGTCTGTGAGCATTGCAAGGGCAGAACCCAGGTCTATCTTGGTTACTGCTCTATCCCAGCTCTTTGCTCAGTGAAATCTTTGTTGACTGACAAACTGACAGACTGGCCCAATTCAACTTGGATAGCAGGTCCCAGGCCTGAGCAGAGCCAAAGGCAGGGCTGCCCAGAGCTTGAGGAGCAACTGGGGCCAGACTCACGTGTGCGGCCAATGTAGAGGCGGGGCGTAGAGGCGCCTTCTGTGGTCAGGGTCATCTGTGTCTCCCCTGACTCGGGGTCCACCACAAACCAGGCATCCTGCTTTCGGCCTGTGGAGGTGGGAAGTGAGCCAGCCCTCAGGATGGCCTGTCCACCCTGTGCCCAGCTGGCCCACCATGACCTAGGCCCCTGTCCCTGATGCCGGACCTGGCCCCAGGGACTGGAGAGGCGCTTACCCGTGTAGAAGACACCGTCGGAGCTGCGGCACGGGGAGGCGTGGACCAGCTCGGGGATGGTGAACGGCAGTTTCTGAGGAGAGGGAAAGGTTCCCGGGAAGAGTAAGAGCAGAGAAACTCACGCAACCTGTCCGTGAGGCGCAACGGTTCCCGTTCCCGTTTCCCAGAGGCTGAGCAGCTCGGCTATGCCTTCGAGAAGCTGGGGAACAGCTCCAGGCTGAAGGACGCCGAGAGACATGACGGCCACACGCAACGGCCAGTCTGGTCCGACCCTGGGCTAGGAAACTGCGAAGGACACCACGGAGGCCCTTCACAGAGTCAGCGCGCGCTGTGCGTGGGCAAGGCGAGTCGCCAGTGGTAAACCCGGTTTTAATCCTTTCCGCGCGGGCTGTGCAGGAAAAGGTCCTTGTTCTCAGAAATACACAGTGACGCTTAAGAAGTAAAGGGGAGCCCGGCCCGGCATGGCTCAGCCGCTGAGCATCGACCTGGGATCCAGGAGATCGCGGCTCGATTCCCGGTCAGGGCACAGGCCCGGGTTGCGGGCTCGACCCCCAGTGGGGGCCGTGCAGGAGGCAGCCGATCA